AGAGAGAGAGAGAGAGAGAGAACTCTGGAACGCCTTGAGCAATTTCAACCAAACTTAGTACACAGATGACTTACCCTCTGGAGAAAAATACTGTGGGGCACCTCTAACAACCCTTGGGGGGGGGGGGTTCTGTTAAGATACAGCCTGTTGTGCCATACTGCCATACTGGTTTCTAGTGTACAAGGCGGTGGAGTTACCATGGTAATAGATTCATAGTACTCCACAAGGGGGCTCTCTCTGGTAAGGGGGAAAATCCAACATTAGAAATTATGTTTGGTCCAGACATTTCCCCCCAATGAATAAATAACCGGGCAATGGCCAGGTTATCGGTTAGTTATATATAGTGTCCTGCCACAAGGACTGAAGGGATGATGGAATTTGGAGATGCTTTAAGTTTTTTTTCTCTGCCAATTTAAATCTGCCAAAATATTATTTTTATATATCTTATATTGGCCCAGAAACCTATTATTATTAAGGGTTAGGATTACGGTTAGATAATTTCCAGGATATTCGGCATCCAAAAATGTTGATGCTTGTTATTTGTGACTTCTACCAGTCAAAAATCCTTAATTTTTCTGCATTGGTAATTTGCCTTTTAATTCCTATTAATTAATGAACAAAGGTCATTAAAACATTAAAACTCACTGAGGTAAGTATGCAGAAGCTTGTCCATTACTGCACTCCGTACTCAGCCTTCCAAGTCATCTCCCACCGATACAGAAAACTATTCCAAAATAACTTTTTTTGTAATGTATTGAACTTGCTGCTGAGTTCCTAAGATTTTTTCATTAACGTACCTATATATCTGAAGAGAATACTGCTAATTCCAGCCAGCAGACTAAGAGTAATCAAATCTCCAAGGCTTGCAGCTATAGGAGTAGCAACATTATCTGGATTTATCCCAATCTTTCTTGCTCCAATGATCACACCAATCATCAACAATCCTAGGAAAGAGAGAGAGACCACAGATTTAGAAAGTTTCCAATAAATCTGCAGAATAGCAAAAGTTCAGAACATCCGTGGGACTTCTTCTTTCCTAGAGCTCACAGAACTAGAAGCAGTAGGCTGATTTGCCAGGGTCTTATAAGTATGACTAGAATGGAGAGATGAGAGAATAATATCAGATTTCTTAGCATCTGGAATACAGTAAAGAGAATCAAAAGGTACTGGAAAAAAGCAGACCAAATACAGCACCAAAAGACCATTATTACAATTTCAAAGTATCATTAGGGACTATAAATAATTCTGTATCATTTTTTAAAATATTCACTTCAATTTTTCACATTGTAAGGCTTAGAAGTCAAAATGAGTATATTAACTATGGAGTTGGGGTGCAGAGAAGAGAGTCTGTACAACTGCATAGCTATGTCAAAGAAAGGAAGATCCCTTGATGAATTATTCTGTTTAATCTTCTTCACGCTTTAATTTCATTATTGGTGCTCTTACTGCATTCAACAACCATCTTTCAACTTCATGCTTTCTCAAAAAATCCATAATTGAAGCCTACTTGCTTTATCACAAGTGTTCTCTAAATCAACAATGTACAATAAACTTTATTTCATTCAAAATTTCTAATGACCTCCTGAAGAGCAACAATCTTATCTGCCTATGTCCCATCTGGCATGAACCTCTACTGCACGCTCCAAAATTTGTTCCCTTTGTCTAGATATCACAGAAAGAAGTGGGGCGTCATCTTAAAACACTGCTGCTCCATTCATATTTTGCATTTATAATCCAGCATATCTCATGTGAAACATAGCCACTCGTTCCTTCCTCTTCTTAAAAAGTTATATGCTGCTCTCTTGTGGAAGACCTGAACACTTCTTGGAGCAAAACACTTTTATTATTAAGCCATTTTTCAGGAATAAGGCCTCATAATCCTGACAGGATACGAAAAAAAGCCTTAACTGTGAAAAAGAAAAAAACTGTGACAAGAATTGCCTAAGATGAGGGCAGAGTTTTGTGTAAGCAGAAGAAATCTCAGGAGAAAGAACACAAGGTGGTAAGT